CAGTTAGGAAATCTGTCATACCGACGAAATGTAGCGACACAACATGGGTTTTCGACTTTCCACGTGAAGCGAGATCCACTCCACACCTCTGACATAGGGTGGGTAGGGTTATTTTTAACGAAGTGGAGCCCCCCCGTAGGGGGGGGGGGGCGGAACATACTGTCTCCATGCATGTACTTCCATGACGTACGACAGATATAAGATTTAGAGTTCATCATTTTTTTCGAAAACTATTACTCGCACAGTAAAAATGAATAGAACATAAAATGTATATTTCAAAGAGATCTATAACTTTTGTTTAAAACATTTTTCAAAATTTTTAATATTTGTGTCTGAAAATTACATATAATTGGTTGACTTCGTTTTTTTAATAACTTTTTAATAAACAACGAGCGCCGGCTAAATCCTTCTGAGGGTTACTCAGGAGGGTGACCTCTATAATATATGTCAAGCCCAAGGTTATTGGAGGTGGGTGTGCTAATCTAAATAATTACCTTATTAACTAACCTGCCAATCGCAAAATTTTTTTGAGTTTCTAGTATTTTATTGTCTCGCCTTTTATTTTTAACACTTGCATGATGCCCACCTACTTCAGATGTTTGTAGACGTTTTAGTTTCAGCTCTTCATCAATTATCAATTTGCGTAGATTATCTATAAAAAAATTTTATTAATTAAACTGTTTCATAAAATAGAAAAAAATTAATATCAAGAGACGCAATAGTATCTCACACCAATAATTATATAATTAAAATGTTTTGTTTTTAATATTCCGTTGGTACAAATTAAAAATATTAAAAATATAGTAATACCTAAGAAATTCCAAACGTTTCCATGAGCTTTGTCGAATTTTTTTCCTACTATATTATGAAAACTCTCTGTTATATTATTTGTCTTGCAGGACAATCATAAACACTAACTTTTGATGCCATTGGTAACCAAGTCTTACGTACATAAGCCAGAAAATCATTAAGAGCAGGATATTTAGAAGAAGTTTGATTAATTTCAAGTTGTATAATGGAAAGTGCTTTCTCAAAGCAATCAGAAGGAATCAATGCCATAGTCATAGTCATAGATAAAACACTTCTTGGTGCGTCTATTAATCCTAATCGCCGCCATTGACGCAAAAGTGCCTATAAGTGTATATAAATATATTACTAGTAAGAATTCTCTTAAAAGTCGCCTGCAGTAATTAACAACATCAGTGATTTTTATCGACCATATCTGGCAATTAAAATTTTTATTGCGAAAAATATTACCCCAGCCAGGATCCGAACCTGGGCTGGCTAACACGCCCGTCACGGATTGTAGGGAGGTCCCAGGTTCGAATCCTGGCTGGGGTAATATTTCTCGCAATAAGAATTTTAATTGCCAGATATGGTCGATAAAAATCACTGATGTTGTAAATATATTACTATTTATCAAAAAATTGATAACTTTAATTCGACTGAACTGACATTTATTGTGAGTAAAATTTCACAACGTTTAAATAATTGAGTAAAGTTTCACAACGTTTAGACTTTTGATTTGGATCCTTTATAAGTAGGATCTAAGATAAAAAATCAGCACACAATAAACAGTTAACAGAATGTTATTTGAATCATAATTATTTAGATCTTTGTGGGTTGCTATCGTTCTAATTGTAAGATGCATTAATAATATTAACGTTTCGAGAACATTGTAATTTATTTCATTAACGCGTGGAACAACTGATAATAATATAATTACTAAATCATTATAAATAATTAATAACGTAATCTCTAAATCATTATAAATACCCGGAAAGGTTTAAAAGTATAATTGTACCTATATGTATCATAATTAATTTTATCTATATTAAATAGTAAAGAATAAGTTATGGAATTAAATATCAATATTTAATTATTCTAAAAAATTATAATACTTGATTAAAATGGAACCAGCATCCATAAGCCTCTGCTGCAGGAAATTGTTCATTTATCACTTTCAAGGCAGCAACCTCATAATCGCTCATTATAAACTTTACATTTTGTTGAAGCATTGGTACTAATTCCATAATTTTTTTCCACATAGCTGTGTACATATTACTAGAGCGACTTTCACATAGGACAAAGACCATACCAATACCCTGTGAAGAAATATAATCAGCTTAACAAGATCTGTCATTTGATTTGATTTGATTTTATGATATGCAGGGTTGGGAAAGTTACTTTATAAAAGTATCTAGTTACAGTTACAGTTTCTTCGCTAAAAATGTAACTAGTTACAGTTACAATTTACCAATTCTGAAAAGTAACGCGTTACAGTTACAGTTACTCAAAAAGTATCGAATCGTTACTTTGCAGTTATTTTCTTGCAATAAAAATAAAAATATCAAATCTGCAATTGAATTGTAAAGTGTCGATAAAAAAGTTTATGCGCAATTGCAAGACCTAATACGATCTATGGAGGTTTAAAAAATATATAAAGTAACTATTAATGTAACTGTTAAACTGTT